TCTGCAGCAACTGAGTTGCGCACGTGAACGCGAGGAATATGTAATAGTCTGCAAAATTTCACAATTACTTTAACATACCTTGTAATTAAGACAATGTTCAAATTGTACATCCCCTGGGTAACATAAAGCATTCAAACAACAACCCATTATACGTCATGGAGTTTAGGCATAACCACCTGGAGTAGAAGACCTAGTACTAAAAAAAGTACTAGAGTAGAAGGCTTAGGTGTTGATTTAGGGCTCCACAAATTCGGGAATAAAGGAAAGATGGTAACGTGGTCTGCATTGCGCACAAGCAGTTTTTACTTCCCAGAGAAGCTAGTTGGCTTCGAACCGCCGAAAAGGATCGAACATTGAGGATCTTCTCAATGACAGGAGTTTAACCACTGAGTTATCGCGGCTCTAAATGTCGATGCTTAATGTAAAGAATTTTTTTTTTATTTTATCAGGTAGAACAGTAAAATTACAAGGATAAAGGAATGATTAGAAAACCTTTTAACAAATCCATATCACTGTCATATTACGAAAATTAATTCAATTCGGAACATTTTGATATCAGTTGGGATAGAGATAAAAAAATCTTTTAAAAATATGTAAATTTTTACGTGGTTTACGAATTATTAGGTATAAAAGATATTGCAATGATCTAAAGTGGGCAGGAAAAAAAATGGAACACTCAGAATAACTTCAGTTTTAATGATCTGGTAATAATGTACCAGGACTCAATCTGAATGGTTTGAAGGTTTAATTCTAAATATGCTAATTAATTGGTGCAGACGATATTTTAAGAACGAAATTAGACGCTCACAGGTAACGAAATTCGATGAATTAATACACCTTTCTCTTCCGACGGATTTGGACTCGTGGCCTATAAAATATAAGGACCATATTTTCCAGAATGAGACTACATCCCACATTTTGAGGGTCTGGAATCAAAAAAGGTAAGTTATTCAGGGTGTTCCTTTGTTTTGCTTTTTTGGGAGGGGGACGCTCTTCACAATGTGTTTTCTTAAAAGTTAAATAAATTATTTTATATTTCACTTTATAATAAGAAATATAATATTTTACACTATTCTTTTTTCAAAAATTGGTCATCAAATTAAATACTAAAATTAAACAGAGGGAATCTTATCTGCTAATTTGCTTTATTTTATCCAACAAAGTAAAAAATTGTTTCCTTAAACATTTTTCTTCCTTTTCACTTTAAAAAAATNCAGGTCATAACAAGAAGCAATAAAAACTGTAGCAGAATAAAGAACATTTATGACAGTTGTAGAAAAAGAGGCACCTGGGGTCAGGGACCCATGCCGGACCTCCTACAGAGTTGGTCCGGTCTTCCTAACCGGGGTGCTAATGTGTCGGCAGTGCGATTACTATCAAACAAGTTGGACCAAGGATCCGGCTCGCACCTTTCAAATTACTCCTCATTATTTGTTAGCTTTAAAGACAGCTCCTCCCCTTTCGGATATTTATCTCTGCCAGGGTAGTTAATCACGACATTTCGTGTGGAATTCCCCTTCCCCTTTTATCAAATCAGAAGAAGAAAAAATCAAATGCAATATTTGTGAAGCACAATTCACTGTAAGAATAGTGTTAAAATAAATTGTCTTATTCACTAATTAAAATATTTAAACTAGAGAACAGATTGCGTGAATACTGCAAGTATATTTCAACTATGAATATGTAAGTATCTTAAGAATGACTATTATATATATCTGCTCCTTTTGCATCTTTCAAAAATGACAAAACATTATGAATTTGAGACCATAAAATCGAACGTTATTCGTAACTAAGTCTAAAGGAAGTAGATACCGCATATCATTGCCAGTCTTGTAATTCCAACAACTGAGAGACTTGGCATTATCTTTAGAACTCCATTCTCATACGGTCAAGTGCGTATGCTCTGTGGAGAAAAATGATTGTTCTGCAGCAACTGAGTAGCGTACGGTGCGTGAACGCGAGGGATATGTAATGGTTTGCAAAATGTCACAATTACTTTAACGTACCTTGTAATTAAAACAATGTTCAGATTGTATATACCCTCAGTAACATAAAGCATTCAAACAACAACCCATTATACGTCATGGAGCTTAGGCATAACCACCTGGAGTAGAAGGCCTAGTATTAAAAAAAGTACTAGAGTAGAAGGCTTAGGTGCTGGTTTCCACAAATTTGGGATCAAAGGAAAGATGGTAATGTGGTCTGCATTGCGCACAAGCAGTTTTTACTACCCAGAGAAGCTAGTTGGCTTCGAACCGCCAAAGAGGATCGAACTCAGTTCTTCTCAATGACAGGCGTTTAACCACTGAGTTATAGCTGCTCTAAATGTCGATGCTTAATGTAAAGAAGAAGAAAAATTTTTTTTTTATCAGGTAGAACAGTAAAATTACAAGGATAAAGGAATGATTGGAAAACCTTTTTAACGAATCCAAATCAATGTCACATTACGAAAACAAATTAAATTCGGAACATTTTGATATCAGTTGGGATAGAGATAAAAAAAAATCTTTAAAAATATGTAAATTTTTAGGTGGTTTACGAATTATTAGGTATAAAAGTTATTGGAATGATCTATAGTGGGCAGGACAAAAATGGAACACTCAGAAAAACTTTAGTTTTAATGATTTGGTAATAATGGTTTGAAGGTTTAATTCTAAATACGCTAATTAATTGGTGCAGACGATATTTTAAGTAACGAAATTCGATGAATAAATACACATTTCTCGGATTTGGACTCGTGGCCTACAAAATATAAGGACCATATTCTCCAGAATGAGACTACATCCCACATTTTGAAGGTCTGGAATCAAAAAAGGTAAGTTATTCAAAGGTTCCTTTGTTTTGCTTTTTTGGGAGTGGGGCTCTCTTCACAATGTGTTTTCTTAAAAGTTAAAAAAAAAAACTATTTTATATTTAACTTTAAAACAAGAAATATAATATTTTACACTATTTTTTTTTTTTAAAAATTGGACATCAAATTAAATCCTAACATTAAACAGAGGGAAGCTTATCTGTTAATTTGCTTTATTTTATCCAACAACAAAGTAAAAAATTGTTTCCTTAAACATTTTTCTTCCTTTTCACTTTAAAAAAATTAATATTGAATGAAATAACTCATGCAAGGGAAAATTTTGAATTTACAGAATCATTCGTCAATTTTGATGTGGAATGCCAAAGTTACGCAAATATACAAATGTTAAGTTTTTTATTATCATTATTATATATATAGGTTGCTTTAGACAAAATCAGGCAGTCCTATCACGTCAAAAAATGAACAATTATAAAACGAAAATATCTTATTTTTGACCATTAATATCGCTATTCGAATAATCGGCATATTTTTGAAACCAGTCATTCGAAACGAAATATTCCATTTAAGAATAATTTTCTAAAAATATCCGGATCACGCAGAATACCAACAAGATAGTTTGCACGCATCTAACGGGTAAGCATAAAAACAACAACATAAATATATCCTGTTAAATAAACAATACATTTAACACACAACCAGGCTTCCTACATTGTCAGCTCAAATAACCGACGAAACAAAAAAAACTCGCATCACAAAATAATGTACGTAGAACATCAGGAAATGAACTTATTTCAAAAATGCCCTCTATAACTTATTTCCCTTTCAATTATTAGGCATCTAACAATGCAGAAATAATGGATGTTATTCTTTTAATTCTCCATTAAATAAAAATATGGAAAAAAAAATCACGCCAAACTAACCGCGAGATGAGCTATTAAAAAACGACGAACATTGTAAACGAACCACCTTTCTTTTCTCTCGCAATAGTCAAAGAGATTCATTCATGCGTTCGTAAATGACCACCTAATACGATTTCATAACGACGGAAAGTATTGTAGTTGTAGTAAAGTTGAACTCTGTGACCTGAATAGAAACAACCCGTTAAGTTTCTTTATAGATTTGAACTATTGTACAATATGTTAATGGCGAGTACGTAATGTGATCTTAGTTTCAATAAATAGTGCTAGTCTGTAAATGTGAAAAATACCTTAGCAATTGGATTAATTGACGTTTATCCTCAATAAATACGTTTACATATTAAAGTATTTTATTTCAGACCAGCCATCATCGAATAAAAATCATAAGTGCGTATATTATTAACAAATTAATATTTATTATACAACACAGATAATTGATGGTGGTTTTAACTTTTTCGCCTTATGATCTTTCCCTATGGCTAGAGGATAATTCCAATCATCTTCACTATATTTTGTTTAAAAATTAACAATTACATATAAAGTTTTGATAGATATCAAAACTTAAATAAAGATAGTTTTGTATATTTATAAACTTCATATTAAACAAATAATTAAAAGCAAATATATTATATTTTAATATATTTGTTATATGTATATAGATATTTGTTACCTGTAATATATTATCCATACAGTATGGATAATAAGAAAGAAAGAAAAAAAAAGCTGGATTTAGCATGCTTGGATAAAAAATTAAAAAATTGCAAATTTCAATTTAAAGTATTTTTGATAATTCAAAATAAATGGTTTTTAAACTCGTACAAGGGCCAGGTCTAATATTTCAAAAACATTTGGAGTTTTGCACTTTTCTTATTTCATAAATTAAATTATAGCAAGTTATAATCTTTATCTGACGAAAAATTAATTTTATGCATAAATTACTTACATCTTTATTTTTTTTACTAAGTTTTTAAACTATATCTGTTTTGAAACAAGAAAATTTTCTTTAAAAAAAAAATGATTAATTAATTTATAAAATAAAAAAATAATAAGTAAAATTAAAAATGATAGAAGTCTTTTTTATTTTAAAAAAAAAATACTAATAAAATATTGACAATTAACATTACCCCAAATATGGACTCATTGCTTTAAAAAAAAGTATTTGGAATAGGTTTAAATTCAACCACAAGAGTACTGATAATCACAAATCACAAAACACTGTTTGCCGGACAAAATGCTTAGTTAAAAAATTTATTTTCTTCCGTCAGAACTTTTTTTTTTCTTCCGAGATTTGTTTAGGAATGATAATTAAAATTTTGTTCGGAGTCCGACTGAACCTTGACCACACACCCATGAACTCTTATATTTGCAGCATACAATGAGAAGTGTTTTTCGTATAGATTTAGCAATAGAATATATTAAAGTAATATTATACCCACTTTAAATAATACGAGTTTAGATAGAGGAATATAGAGGTAGCTGGTTTAATAGTTGGAAGATTTGGATGAAGGAGGTTTGGAAAAAGGATACAAAGAAAATTTTAATAAGCTTGTTTTTAAAGCCCATTTTACATTCTGCTTCCATAACATAAGGCAATAATCTATTGATCTATCTTTGACTGCAAAGTTGCTCCTGAAAGAGTTGCAGGTCACTATTGCTATATACCAGAGTAATGTTGTGATTAACCGATTTCTTTCTTTTCTTTTATAACAGACCTATGCTTCTTTTATTCACTCATAATCAACGTTATAGTCCAACTGTTTAATGCTGGTGCAAAAATAAATTAATCAAATATTCAGTTCAAAATATAATTTTATTATTATTATTTCATTATATATTTGTTTAGAAACAAAATTTTATTATTATATAATACATACTTTTCTTCTGACACACACTTTTTCTTTCGAAAACTAAATGAAAAATTTAAAACAAATCACAACAAATATGCATATTAATATTCAAAAATAACTCAGAGATAAATTTGGATACATCAAAAAACCATTTAAATATTAGATAAGATTAGATTTCAAATATTAGATAAATATTGAGTCAATAATTAACAATTTTAAAAAAAAACTGCCATTAGTAACATATTTTATAGGGAATAATTTTGGCTGCTAATTTAAAATGTACAAAATCTGTTTGTAAAATGACAATAAAAATTCAGCAAATTTTCATTGTTACTTTATAAATTGAAGCTAACGTGCACTTTATAATATGATTACAGATTGTAAGTCATTTTAAGTTACTGAGTAAAATACACTTTTTCTACATATACCATAAATTGCCAAATACATGCCGATTTCAATGAAAATACAGAAAATGAAGGCATGCAGTTGTAGATAAAAGTTAATGAAATACTTAAGCAGCACAATTAATTACCATCCAAACCATATTTTAGCTTTTAATTTAACTTTTATTTTTCCTGTTTTTGTATTAATGAAATTAACATAGAAGTTTTATTAAAATGTCTAAAATATCAAAAAACAATGAATAATTGAACAGTTAAAATAAAAAGTCATGATTAAATTGTTAAATTTATAGCTAATTTCTTAAAAATCAATACATTTTTGTAATTGCACAGTTTCAAAAATAATTAAGCAATTAATAGGCATCATATGTAATACAGAGACAAAATTTTTTTTCAAATCCTAAAGATAGAGCATTTAATGGTTAAATTCTCTTCAGATCAAAAAATGAAGAAAAAAAAAGCCTTATTACATAGCATAAAATAATTAAAGTATCTAAAATAGATAAGAATTTTCTTTATGAATGCATTTTCAAATTCTTTGAAAAGTCAATTAAAAAATTAGTTTATTAAATAAATTATTAATAAAGAACATAAATAATGAAGAAAGAAAAATATAAAAATCTTTTTTTTAACAACTAAGATGTTTTTTCTATACATTTATTAGAAGAAAAAAAAAAGAATATATATTAGAAATGAAATTCTATTATTTTTCAGTTAGTTTAATTATAACAGATAAAATAATAACCATGAACTAGTTTTTTCTTCTTTTTTTATCAAAATCATCATAAAAAGTAAAAGCTTACACATAGACTGTTAATTTTTTTCTTGAGAATTAGAAACGTTTTACTTGTACACTTACAAGACTTTTTTCAGCTTCTTCAAACACACAGAAATTTTTAAAAACATGCACACAAAAAAATGTTCTATTTAGGTTTCTATTTCTTCTTAATGAATATTATAACAGCAGTATTGCATATTACTCCTGAAAATAAAAGATTATATTAGTTATAATTAAAAATTTTCTTAATGGAATCAGTAATAAAAATAATTTTTTGGTCAAGAGTCTCATAATCAGAGTAATAAAGCTTAGATCAGAGTTGAATATTATTTAACTTAATGGAGCTTAAATGTTCACTCACTAAAATATCTAAAGTACTTGTTTATTAAATAATATAATTGTGATGATGAAAAAAAAATATTGATGCATATTAAACAGTCAGTAAATAGTTTCAAAATACTAAAAATAAATTTGCAATTCATTAATCATTAATGAGCAATATTCATAACAGATTTGAAATTTTTAATTTACTTCAATGTCCATACAATTTTTAAACCACATTAAAAAATATTTGATCATGTTATCCAAAAATATATTAATTTTATTTCACAAGAACTCCAGTTAAAATCAGATTAGCTTTTAAAACTAAAGACCAAATTAAAAAAAATAAAAAATCAAATTATTAGCTCTACAACACAAATCATTAATAATAATTTTAAATAAACAAATAAAGTTAGTCACTGTCACACCAAAAATGAGCATAATATATGCTCTATAATAAAAAAATCCTATTTCATTTGATTCACTATTCAACAAAAATATCAATTCAATCTTTTATTCAGTATAAATGTATTTGAGCAGAAAATAAATCCAATCCTGCAAATAAAACAAATATGTTTATCCCTGTTTGGCATGACAGCAATATAGTGTCTATGCGGACATTAAAATGAAATATATATACATAGCTGCCAACTCTACTGGACTTAGTTAGTTTATCCTGGTTTAATAAAAATTCTCCTAGTTTTTGTAAATTTTAGAAAATTCCTTAAAATTGAGTAAGTTTCTTAAAATATCCCTATTTAAATAAAGTCTTGCACAGATTATGGCTTATTTGAATATTTAAACAGGTATTACTAATACACAATGAAGCGATCCGCATTAATAAAAATCAATTAACAACTTTTTTTGTTCTATAATGTTCAGTTTATAAGGAACTAACTTTCAATTAAAGAAAAAAAAAATCTTTTAACTATCTTTTGTTGAATTAAATGCTTATTGAAAATTTACTCCAACAGTGCATTACTTTGGCCTTCAAACTGTGACTTTATCATTATTATTTATTATTATAATTTTTTTCTGGGCCAGAAAAGTGCTTCAAAAATTGTTTAATATGGAAATGAAAAATCTATCATTATTGAGACTGCTAGTACAATGAACACAATAGAGAGAAATTTTTCTTAATTCTGTTTTAAATATATCTAAATAGATGAGGGTTAAATATACACACTATAAGAAAAATAAAACAGAAAATAACATTATACAGCCTCTTCCCTTCATTGCAACCTCGCATTACAGCGACCCTTCGTTATAACAACTGATACACAAAGTCCTGTTTGCTACTCCATTGATGCAATGTTATTTTAATGTTTATTAAAATGCCCACACTGAATCCTTTATTCCAACATAGCAATCAAAATTCACTCATTTAATTGAGAAAAAGCTTAAAAAAATTACTTAAACTATTATTTTCTTTGATAAACATAACAGTAAACATAAAACACTTCGAATCGCCCTAGAATGAAGAGAGAATGTTAAATTCTTATCTTAAGGTGGTGGATAATTCCCATTTTAAGTTGTAGTAATTTATGGTCACTTATAACATGAGTAACTTTCTTTTCAGGGATACGATAAATTTATGAATCATACTTTTCTTGTTTGAAAATAACATTCCCTCTTTTTTTGTGAAAGGTCGGTCTTTTTGCATGGTTTATTTTTGAGTTAAAACATGTGTTCTTCGCAGTTATTTTGATGTATTTTATGTATCAAAAATGGCAGTCCCAAACCAACATATTACTTTCAATGCATTTTCCAAATATGAAATATTATTTTAAAGATACCTTTTAAGCATATATTAATAAATAAAAAAAAGGTTTGCGTTACAACAAGCTATTTAGTTAGTTAGAAAATTATTATTAAGGTAAAGCAATGCTTTGTGAAAATTAGTCATCTCATTTTAGCTATGAGTTTATTATTTATGGCATATTTGTACACTTATGATACAACAACCTCACGGTACAATATAAGGTCCCTTTTAGCCCTGACCACTAGGGTTGTTATATTAAGCGTCTACTGTAACAGCTAATCTTTTAAAAATTAAAATTGGGAAATCCTTTACTTCAAGGAATTAAGCAATAAAAATAAAAATAACTACAGAAGAAAAATTTTCATTTTTTTCCCCAACGAGATTAATTTATTACAGAATATATTTTTTAATATTAAACATTTATATAAATCTTCAGTAAGATATTTATTTTTGCATAAAATATTTTGTACTAGAAATAAAAAAAATTCTTACACAAAAAATAAACCTTTGTTTTCAGAAAATTCTAAAATCTTGTACAATTGGCAAAGAAGAGAATTTTGATAAAATACATTGTTTTTTAAATTAATATCATGTAAGTCACAAAAAGATTAAAAAAGTTTAACAATAAAAATTTCAGACGTGAAGTAATGTTCTTTAAATTTTTTTCCTTACTCAAATTTAATTAATAAGTATTTCAAAAGGAAAAAGTTTTTAGTTAATATGAAAAGCAAAAATAAATATTTTTCAATACTCAAATTTCTAGAATAAGGACTTCTAAAAGTCTAAGAATCTTGTAAAATATTAAAAGCAAAAATACAAAACTCTTAAAAACAGAGTCATTTTAATTTAACAAACAAATACTACTATTGCAGAACAGAAATGACGTCTGAATTATGAATGAAATTATGTCTGATCATCACTCTAAATGAATAGCTTGTTATCTAGAATTTTTATTCATTTAGTTGCTTTAAAATATAGAACATATGACTAGTAAAGGGTTAGTAGAAAAGATTTTAAAAATTCTGAAACTATTGCACACATTACAATAAACGATACACAAAATCAAAGAAATTTAACAAAGTTGCTCTTTTTTTTCCCCATGACAAATGTTGATGTGTGACCCTTTTGTTACGCTATAAACAACTATCATTGTATTATGAAATAAATGGAAGAGATGTTACAATTGCTATTAAGCTTTCTCTTTCCTAAAATTTTTCTTAATAACCTATTCTTAAATATACATTATATGGATAAAATTTTACAGCAAATTATTATTTGAAAAAGCAGGCAAATACCTCCAAGAAACGAAAAATGAGACAAAATAACAAAACCATGAAAATAAAATAATAGAAAAATGGAAAAATTCAAATTGATGAGATAGAATAGTTTTATTTTCATAGGCCCCAAAATTTATGATTATAAAAAAACATGATACAATTTATTTATGAAAATGAAATATAATTGAAATAAAACAGAATAATATCTGCTCCACAAAAGATCTTTAACATTTTCTAATAATACATCTAAAAATAGAAATTCTCAAATAACAGAAAGGTTTTTCAAAAATATGCTGGGAAATCCATGCGTGAACTTTAAAATGGACAGACGTACTACTGCAGATATCATAATAAGAATTAAACTTCCATTGGCCCGCCCTTAAGACAGAAGTTTAAAACTCTTTTTTTCTTATCTTCTACTTATATTACAATGTATATGCCATGACCACCCATTCTTTTAACTCTCTAAGTATTTAGTAACTGTTAATGTGACTTTGCTTTGATTGTGTTACTTTTTTTTTAACAGAGAGATCATAAGTCACTTTAAAAAAGTTAGAATTTTCATCATTCTAATTATTTCAAGTTCAACAAGAGGTAAAAGATACAATGTGTGAAAGCTTACCTATGCATCTCACATTCAAGCTATCTGATACCATTTTCAAAAAAGTACCTAGTACCACTTTCACTTTTCAACCTTCTAAAACAGCACTGTGAGAAAACAAGATTTTGTGTAAGTTATCAAATTAAAATGGCTAAAAAACAAAAATTTAATAAGTTTATGATTGATCCGGACATGAACATATTTAAAGCGATATTGTCCACTTAAAATGCGTAATTGATAAAATTACACTTTTAATTATCACAATTTAATATTTCAATGTTTGATAAAATTCAATCTCTTTTATTTACAGAAGCCTTAGTCTAATTACTTGAAGTCAATGATGTAAAAATTAATGTAAAATTGTTTTTTCTTTATTCATTGTTAACAAACGATTTTTGATAGCTTCAATTTTTGATACTTAAATTTTTTTTCTTTTCTTTTTCCAAGTTCAATATATAAACCGTTGATTGTTATAAGTTTCTGAAATGCATTTGAAATACCAACGCTTTTATATTACAGATTAAAAATTAAACAGTATTTTCATTACTTCAACTTTACTGAGTATACAAAAAAGGTTCATACACCAGAAAGTTGTATGTTTTTGAAGAAAGGAAAAGAAACAAAACTCTCAAAAGTATTGGTGCCAGCAATTTACATAACAATTCTGAACATTGCCATTTCAGTAGCTAAATATATTCGTAATAAAAGCACACGATTTTCATTCTAAATATCACAAATGAATGCAAAACAGAACAAGATTTTCTTCTTTTTTTAAAAATACTTTTTTCTTTGAATTTTAAGTAACACTGTAATTCACTCAACCTAAAAGGATAGACTTACTCATTTTTCATAGATTTTCGACCAATCCGAATGCAGATCTGTGAATAAGTCAAAGATTAATTCATTTTAAAGACACTTAATGCTCTTCAATATTCAAATCTTCCAAAATCCATACCTCAAACGATCTGAATCGAGAAGGTTCACCGTACACATCATTCACTATAAAATAAGACTCACAATTAAAATGGAAATAATCTGTCATAAAGTTAAAATCAAATTAAAGAATAAGCTTACATTTTTAAGTATATTTAAATTCATGCTGATTAAGCTATTAATAGATGAGAAATTTTAATACATCATTTTCTACTACTAATGGTTACTGAATGGTCACAATTACTAATGGTTACTGAAAATAAAGATTAAAAAACACCTAAGTCAAGGTTAAAAATAATAATCGAGAAAATATAGAAAAGGTAATTTGCCTGAAGGAAAATTTAGCCTACAATGATCTGCAATAAAAAGTTGCAAAAATTTAATAATAAATTAGAAAATGTAAAATGAATTAAAAAGAATAAAAATATGAAGATCGAGACTGTAAGACAGATATTTCGATGAGTTTTAATAGTTTTATGTGATTTATTGAAAAAATAAGACACTTCTGTTAAATAGTTTTCAATATTCATTTTTACTCATTTATTATTGATAGATACAGATTATATATCATATTTTTTATTTGACTTATTCTAAAGATTTTTTTCACAAAGTGAATCTTGTTTGCACTTTTCATTGCAACTAAGCAATCTAACATTTGGTCATACAAAACATACACTGTTTTAAAAATGGATAACATCTTATTATGTATGACCAACCATTTACCTATCCTAATTATATTCTAATATTTATACATGAATAAAGATATAAAACTATTTGCTAAGTTTGGAATTTAAAGAAATACAACATATAAAAACTGAATAAACTATTTTTAAAATCTGCAGTAATTTAATTTTTACAATAATAAATCTAAAAAAAAAAATTTCAAAAGGAAATGTTTTTTTTTTTTTTAATTAAAAAAAAGGGAGGTTTTTCAGGAAGGGGATTAGGGAACTTATTTCAATGATTCTGTTTTTATTGCATTTTTCGATAATAAAAATATTAAAAAGAACTGAAATAACAAATATTTATTTATTAATTAAATGATAAAAATCAAATAAAATATGCATTGAGCTTGTACATTTGCAAAAATTATAAAAAAAGTTTAAGAATTATAATGCAATAAAATATTACCCCATACTTTACGATGAATTGGTAATCATTCCTTTACAGCCAACTTCATCTCGCAATCTTACAAAAAGATGAAGCTCTTAATTTTCGCTTCATAATACATGTGAAAATTTCACCACAGCAAAAAAACATGGCAAATTTTCTATTCCACCTAAAATAATTTTAAAAATTAAAATTTATGTAATTAAAAATAATTTTAAACTTTCAAAGATTTTAAATGCAGTAGAACGTCAACAATCTGTCCAGATAATTGGACTAAAGAAACTACCATTACATAAATCTGTTACTTCTTACTATTTCCAAGCTGCTGATACACTTATAGGAATGGCAAAACAGTGATAATTTTACATAATACCATGGATTTTAAAAAAAAAGAACAGAGAAACTACCATTACTACAGCTTTTTGAGTATTCTGTGATATACTTGTAGAGAAATGACAATACATAATGATACTTTTATTAATGTCACGAATTTAAAAATTAGCATAGAAAAATAACCAATTATTTAATCTGCTGCTTTGTATTATTCTTGTGCTTGTGTTACACGCAGAAATGCTAAAAAAATAGTGATACTTTAGTGCAATGTTCCACATTAAAAAAATTAGATCAGAGAAACTACCATTACTGCTGTTTCTTATACTTATACTACACTTTTAGCGATACCAATGAATAGTGATACTTCAATATAGTGTCACTAATTTAATAATTAGAGCAAAGGAACTTCCATTATTCTAATTTATTGATTCATACTATTCTTCAGCTTATAATACATTTCCAACAATGCCAATTTATAGAGATACTTTTTTTCTTTTAATTGAAGAGGCATTTTTAAGCAAATTTCAAATAAAAGCATTTATTTGATAATAAAATTTGCTCTATTATTATGAACTGGAAAAAAAAGTCAGATTCATTTAAACTATAAAAAATGGATACATATTTAATAATTAAGAAAATAAATAATTTTGCATTTCAAGCTGAAAAATGTCTTTAAATTGCAAAGTAACTAGGGAAAAACGGTATCTGTTCACAAAAAAATAAAAATAAAATAGTTGCACTTGAAAACAGTTGAGTTAACCAACACAAGAGCTGGAATCTGTTATACTCTGCCAGATATTAGTTACATAGGTTCAAAATAGGTAATTAGCTTCAAAAATAACTGTCAGCATGTTTCAAGTGCTCAGAAATTGGTGCTCATTCTCAAGATTTGCCAGACGTGAATGAAACAAAAGTAATTTGACATAAAAACGTAAAGTTGCCAACAAAAAATGGAAAAATATAGTTTAAGAAACAACATTGATGGAACTCCTGGTGTTTAGGAGCCGATTTGAAGTTGTAGAAGGGACCAGAAAATAAAAGGAAATAAAAATCAGAAAATTAAATATTTTGAAATTTATAGTTAGGAATAAATAACACAGTATTTATAGAACCAATATACCACAGTATTACAGAAAATCCTTAGTAGTTGATATTCTGCTATTCTAAATTTGGTAGCTTCTACACTGCAACATATTTTTATAAAAATCAAGATTAGTTCCAATTAAAGAGCAGTTAGTGAAATTGGGATTCCGAACCGTTTAGACTTATTAACTATACCTAAATTAACTATTTTAGCAATATAATATTAAATATATAAAGCATGAGCAATATAATATTAAATATATAAATACCGTAGTCACTCTACTGTGTATTTTTCTCTATATCATACTTCTTTTAAATAAAACATAATAACATTTACAGTATTCTCAGCACAACAAAAGTTGTCTCTTTATAATGATTTTATTTTTCAATTGGAAGTTGGAATTTTGGAATAGAACATTAGGAGGGCACTGAAGACTAAGAGATATATTCTTTTTACAGATGGACGAAGAATTGTTAACTTTTTGAATGATAGGTAAAACATGAAAACACGGAGGAAAGTTTTCAATTGCAAAATGTAAAGCAATATATGTCCTCCTCAATAATAAAAAATCTCAATAAATCTTCCTTAATATTCAGAAAAAATGAAAATGAAATTCAGAATCATCATCACTTTAAATCAAACAATTAGACAAAATTTCTAGACTTTTTGTAACTGCATTTTTAATTTTTTTATTTTCCTTAAAAGTTGAATCTCTGCAATATCCAAGGTGAAACTAAAATCTAAGTTTTTCAAGTAAAATGAATACAAGGTACATATTGTGCGGCTTAGAGGAGAATTAATCCAGACTAAAAGCCTGAGGCTGTCTGCCGCTATGGTAACAAGCGAGAGCACATTTTTAATGTGGATGCAATGGAGGAATGAAGGTGTCGATAGGTTACTAATGCTGACCTATGTCAAGATCAAGACAAAACTATTCATCCCACACCCCTACTCAAAGTGTGGGATGAATAGTTTTGTCTTGATCTTGACCACAGTAGGTACCCACCACGACGTGAGACTGATGTCTGAAGGAGTTCTCTTGAAAGTTGCACAATACTAGTGCATAGTATTTTTATAATTAAGGAATTTAGTTTCTTGAGTAAGCATTTTATTTATACAATAAAAATTGACGAATTTATACTATGCATCTTCAGAAAATAATGAAAAAAAACACATTGATGTATGATATTAATGTATTTATAGGTAAAACTTACCCTATTGATACTTTACTAATACTAAATATACTTCTTAGGTTCATAATTTCTAGCATCTAATAATTCTTATATTTTCTGGGTCCTAGAAAAAAAAATGTAAATAAAAATTCAAATTTGTTTCATGAAAAAATTTGTGAAGTTCTCATGTAGTGTACAGAAAGAGAAAATGTTACATGTAAAAAATAGTATAACACAAGTGATATATCTGTTTAACAGACTGTGTATGAAATAATTGTCTAAGTGACAAAATCTTTCTCTTTTCTTTTATAAAATAAAAATCTATAGTTTGTACATAATTCTATACATTTAAGTTTTATGTTTAAAAATCTTATAAAGTGGCTAATTTTAATACAATTAAATTAAAATTCACTGAAAATTTAGTAGGTTAATTTTCAACAAAACAATGGGAAACCCACAACCAAGGTACTGTTTTTTCCACTAATTGCTTTGGAGTACAAAATTAAGTCAATTTAGTCTCTACTAGAGATGTGACGGTAAGTAGTGCGTCAGTAAGTAGTGAGTACAAATATTGGACAGTAGCCAAAATTAAATATTGAATAAAAACGTATATAAACTAAATATTAATTTATACTTTATGCTAGAAAATGCATATTCATGGTATACAGTATTCATGTATACATTTACAGATAATAAGCACTGCACAATTATACATATTATGTGATATCTTTCACCCATTGTGATCTTTAAAATCAATGAAAATAAGAAATCTTTAAAATAAAAATTTATTAACTAATAAATAATTATAATTTCATTAAATATTTTTCTAATTTTATTTTGAGAAAAAAACAGTATTTCCAAATATATATACAGTATCCGTAGCAAAAATAGCAATTGCTCAGCACTTTTAGATAGAATTCCGTACCTTCACTGTTCATAAATGATGCCTGCTTCAAAGAAAAGCACAGACTATAAATGCTGCTAGCAGAAGGATAAAGATATTTTTTGTTATTTTTGATAAAACAAGAAAATAATTTGTTGCATAATTTTCTTTCCAACATGTATTTTGTGCAAATGTATTTTATGTTCATGTGGTAATATATTTTGTGCAAAGACAGGTTTTGAAAGATATTAATTTAATACAGTTAATTCATTAATATCAGGTTAAGCAATACCTTATGCATACAGTAATGCAGTGTTTCCCAAACTTATGACTTTTGTGTACCCTTTCTAAATTTTTCGCAATGCTGTGTACCACTAATATTTTTTTTAAAAATATGTTTATTTTTCTTTTTTGGTACAAAGTTTTATTAAAAAGTTCATTTGCATCAGTAAGAAGGACGATATTGTTTTTACTGTGATAAAAAAAATTGCACAAAAGTTACAAATCACAACTGGCTGATGACCACTAATTATTAACTGTTAACTCTTCAAAAAATAGCCAATAGAAAAATATGCAATCTTAAATTTTCATGGCTAGCTTTGATTTTAAATAAGACCTTCGTTTGTTGCATGATATTTCGCATAAGAACACGTACCCCTGCTAAACTATTCCCGTATCCCTGGGGGTACGCGTACCACACTTTGGGAAACACTGCAGTAATGTATTAAATTGTCCAGTAATAAATTACTGTCATTAGCTAGTTTGGAAAATAATGACCCAAAAGCATGCATTATCTAGATTCTGAAAATCTATTTTAAATACCCCATCCTTGGTTTCNTACAGTATCCGTAGCAAAAATAGCAATTGCTCAGCACTTTTAGATAGAATTCCGTACCTTCACTGTTCATAAATGATGCCTGCTTCAAAGAAAAGCACAGACTATAAATGCTGCTAGCAGAAGGATAAAGATATTTTTTGTTATTTTCGATAAAACAAGAAAATAATTTGTTGCATAATTTTTTTTCCAACATGTATTTTGTGCAAATGTATTTTATGTTCATGTGGTAATGTATTTTGCGCAAAGACATTTTTTGAAAGATATTAATTTAATACAGTTAATTCATTAATATCAGGTTAAGCAATACTTTATGAATACAGTAATGCAGTGTTTCCCAAACTTATGACTTTTGTGTACCCTTTCTAAATTTTTCGCAATGCTGTGTACCACTAATATTTTTTTAAAAATATGTTTATTTTTCTTTTTTGGTACAAAGTTTTATTAAAAAATTCATTTGCATCAGTAAGAAGGACGATATTGTTTTTACTGTGATAAAAAAATTGCACAAAAATTAAAAATCACAACTGGCTGATGACCACTAATTATTAACTGTTAACTCTGCAAAAAATAGCCAATAGAAAAATACGTAATCTTAAATTTTCATGGCTAGCTTTGATTTTAAATAAGACCTTCGTTTGTTGCATGATATTTCGCATAAGAACACGTACCCCTGCTGAACTATTCCCGTATCCCTGGGAGTACGCGTACCACACTTCGGGAAACACTGCAGTAATGTATTAAATTGTCCAGTAATAAATTACTGTCATTAGCTAGTTTGGAAAATAATGACCCAAAAGCATGCATTATCTAGATTCTGAAAATCTATTTTAAATACCCCATCCTTGGTTTCAATGTAAGGTAATAACAATGAAATATGTTTTATGTAATATGTGTAGTTGCTTAGAAATTTAGAGTAAATTTCATTTAGTTAAAAGTTTTTTTAAAAAAAGAAATAGATAAAAATATGAACAAAAAGATATTAATTTAGTCTGATACCATTAAATTTTAAAACGAAAAGAAAGGTGGGGAGATACTGTCGCCTGATACAGGATACTAAGCAAATGGTAGATCCATTGCATCTCTAGTCTTCACAATAACCTTTCTTTTTTGTTTATAGGGAATTTATAATCATTTAAGGAGTTTTTTCTTTATATAATAAAGATTAATAAAGAGATATGCATAAAAGGAAAAAAAAATAACAGATTTATAGTTAATAATAACACCAAATATTCAATACTATATTTCACTCAAAAATACAATTAAACTCACACATGAATAAATACAATAATTAAAAAGTTAAAATGTTTAATAATATCATGTTAAATATTTAACCTAAAATATATTAAAGACAATCAATAATACAATATCCCAACTAAACATTTTTACATGTGTAACTAAATATTAAAATATGTTATTGGTAATTTAAACAAAATTTTGAAAATAGATTTAATTTTATTTAGTCTCATAAACAAACAAATCAAAATATTCACGTTATGCTTCGAATATTTAAAATAGCACTAATGAAAGTTGGTTATAGGTTTAAATTATTACACCGGAGTATATGATTGTGAAATTCAATATTCCTTTAATTTTGCAATTAAGTTAGTACTCAAGGTCATAGATTACAACAAAATTCTCGTAGAAAGGATTAAAACTAAAACCAGTATTATCCACCACACCAATATGAGTTGGTCGGTGTTTGGTGTGCTGCTAGAAATTTTTTGGGGTACCACAAATTTAAGTTGTACTTTTTATAAGAAAATAAAAATTCGCATTCCTTCCTCTTCTTCCTTTAAGAAATAATTAATGAAAACAAAATTACTCAGTTTTTTAGTTTTTAATCAACATCAATAGAACTATCTGAAAATATACACAAATAGTTTTTTTTCTTCTGCAATACTTCATACAATAACATTGCAATTAGACATCTTTATCAAAGTATTTTCCATATTGAGATTTTACTGTATAAAATATTAGAACATAATAGTAAGCTAATGACTGAAAACAGTATAAACAAACACTACTTAAAGGAGAAAAGTACTCAAAACTGTAATGTACAGAACAATCGAAGCTCTACAGAACAACTGTAACAAAACTAGTTATGTAAAAAAAAATGTATGGCCAAATCCTAACAAAAATGTTAGATGATGTTAATTATATTTGTTTCATCATAAGGGTATTTATATATAACTAGGACATCTGTTTGTTGAGCTAAACAACCCCCAAAACTATTCTCAACGTTTCTTTTGGATTGCTTCTTTATCGCTCTAATTGTTTCACTCACTCTTTGAATACTTTTTTATTTTATTCTAACTTTGTATGAAAGCTGATACTTTAAAAAAAAAAAAGTTCTAAAAGTAGGCATGATACACATTCTGAGAATACGCTAAGATTTCATCTAAATAAAATAAATCTCAGTGTTTGGAGACATGATATACTATTTATTTTTAAATTAAATTATAACTTCATTCTAGCATAAACTCACAAAATGAATAAAAAAAAGATTTAAAAAATCTCTCTCCTATAGTAATTACGAAATATATCATCAAAACTAATAAGCAGCTCTAAATTATATTCGAACATGCATAAATCGACAAGCATTTTAAAAACATTTTGTAAAATAGAATAGTTTGCTGATATAAACTATTAATTTTGTCCAACTAAAGCTGTTTGCTTCAGCTTTTCGTTGTCCATGTGAGAAAAGAATTTTCATTCAGAAATGTGTAAACTTGTATGCTTGAGCATTCATTCTTATAACTGCTCACCCACTTGATATTTCATTTCTTTGTTGATAATATAAAATAAATAAATAAAAGACTAATTTTTTTTCTCCTTATAAACAAAATATTCCAATACAAAGCAATGACTAATTCAGATTTTTTTTTGTTACAATTTTAGTTTGCAAAATGAATTGCTTCACTATGTAAAAAAATGGTATAAAACAAAATGATAAAGATCAATTTTTAACAATATTCACGGAAGATTTGTAATCATCAAGTTTAGTTGCAAAATAATTCTTCGCCTAGAAAATATCAAACTATATATACTAGACATAATTCTTTGCCTGGAAAATATCATACATAAAGAGCTTATTGAAAAGCAGAAACATGAAAATATTCATTCTGAAAATGCTCGAAACTTTTGTTTCAATTTTAATTGTTACCTATAGTATAATGATTCAAATTTTAGTCAGTTTAAGTAAAGATCATTAATATTTCTGCCAAATATCTGGATAAAACAATTTTCAGAGGAAAAACATTTGTTTGATTACAGCTTCCAATATATACATATTTTAAATTTAGGGAAGATTTCTGTAAATTGCCGAGAGAAAGTGGCAGAAAAATCGCCAAGCCTTGGTAAGTTCCAAGAAAGCAGTCAGCAAGGAACTTAAAAAAATAAAATCTCAGAAAGGGACTAATGTGAAGGGTATATACACACATCCAAGCAAACCTCAACTGCATATTTTCTTTTAAATGTTAGTAAAATAACATACATACAAGTTTAAAAATTAAAATCCATTTGTCCCACCTTGGCGATTGTAGTTAGCATGACAGATAAGGATGCAGAAATATCCACTAAAATGAGACCCTTAACTTTTTTTTTAAATAATCTTAATTTAATATTTTTGGTTTTGTTTGAGATTCATAGTTTTAGAAGGTAAGAACAATCCCAAACCCATAGCAAGTAATAAATACTGCTGTAGAGATAGTATAACTCAGAATTAAATAACATAACCGAATTTTTCAATCTCTAAACAAACCATTAATAGCGTTAAAAAGCGTACTCTTAATCCTATTTTTGAAAGCCATTGCAAAAAAATTTATTAAAAAACTTTTGATTCATTTTACAGACAAAGCTTTTTAGCGTTGAATCAGCTTATCATTAGAAATTCTATACACGTTTATTCTCATTTTAAGAGATAATCTGACAACAAAAAGTTATGAATTAATTTTTTTTTAAAAATGAAAAAATATTAAAACGGTTTTCTTAATAACGTGATTTAAATCTTTTTTAAAATCTATTATTTGTAAAAAAATGATAGCACAAAACTGACTAAGAAGTTAAACATTAATTTCGAAACATAATTAAGAAATTAAAATAGATAACTAGTCCCATAAGTTTTAATAAGACAATCTTAAAAAAAAATAGTATTTCTAAAATAAAAAAAAAATATTGACTTACAAACGTAAACAAACACAAATTTAAAATCGTCTATCTACTTAGTAGAGTTTTTAACGACTATTTATCAAAGATATTAACCACTACGGATGTGTGAAAGATTCATTAGACGGTATTTAAAGTACCTTTTAATAGCAGTAAGAAATAATAGCATGAATTGACAATAACAATGCGACTTACAAAGCTCAGCTACCAACGCCAACGGCCATAACAATCAATCTCCCACAATGCCTCTGGAGAAAAACCGAACACCAGATGGTGTCGAGGCGCATGCGTAGTGACAGTTCGGAGGATGCTAATTAGTAGAATCAAAATTTATTCCCGAAAGCAAAGATGTTGTTTACAAACGCTGGTCTCGCTGTTTGCGGAGAAGTATCTCTAGTGATTTCTCCCGGCGCCGATCTTATTGCAAATAAAAATAATTTTCTTTTCTTCTTTTAATTCTAACATGAACGTGGACTATCGAGAGAGCTCAGATTTCAGACAAATAAAATAAAATATAAAATTATTTACGAAAGAAAAACTTCTTCTTTTAGAGAATCAAGTTTGTGCTTTTATTTTTACGAACACGTGTGTTTAGTTGGATATCAAACATTCGGATTAAGAATTGATTGACTGGAAATATGCTCTTGGCGAAAACAAACTGAATTTGTTGAAACTTTGACAAAAATAAGAGAATCAGTAGTATTAATTTTTTTTCCAAGACCTAATATAAGGAACTTTCGAATGATTTCTCTCATCTTCTAAAATTAAAGAAAATTCTATCGTAGTTCTTAAAGGTAAGGAATTTTTTTTTCCCTAGGAGCTCGTTTTAGTCTTTTTTAGTAGTTTCGGAAAGTTTATAGTTGTCGGCAGTTATGAATAAAATTGAATATATAATTTTTTTCTGCTGTTTATACCAATTATGATTCATCTTGAAATTTTAAACAGATAAAAATGACTGTCAAAACAAGACGCTCAAATAAACAAAGTAAAATAATTTAAATAAAATTATATTTTACATATTTGTAAACGTTATTTCTAAGAATTACAATTGAAATAAATATTTTCCAACAGCGCAGCGATATCGAACGCAGTATTAAATACGCGAAATTCGCTAAAAACTTTCCAACTTTACATAATTTTATATTTCAAAAATTAAAAATTTTGAGAAACTATGCTTCCACGTTATCCTTTATAAACCGTTATTTCTTTTTAAATTATGACTTATAAATACAATTTTTGAAGATTTCAAATATTTGTTAGCATTCCATAGTGGAACTATTGATTACTTTTGAGTTTTATGCAGCTGCCTAAAAAGGTTAAAAAAAATGTACTCCAATAACAAGATAAATAACGACATTTTCCTCATAAATATATGGATTTATTTTAACTATTATAAATTTGAATTTTGATAAGCTAGTCTGTCCCTTTCAGAGGCACTTTACTCAATATTTTATCGATAAAGTGGAATAGTTTTTAAGCTTTTCTCAAACTATATATTTCAAGATAATGATTTTAAGAAGAAAATTTTCAGAATCGCTTTCACCTTTACAAATAAAAATTATTGTTCCTCAATAATTCGAGATTTAAAGTCTTTCACTTTTTGGATATATATCCAGATTTTATGTTTACAAATAAACCTTTATCATCCCAGAAAGAATTTCTTATACATTCTTCTATAAGGTAAAGTATATAGTTTTACAAAAACACTTGACATTTTAGTATTAGCAATCGTTAGCATTTAAATCAATAGCTAGTAAAGCTAGTTAAATCTTAAATATCTAATCCATTTAATACAATAGTTCTATCCCATTTTTTTGTTATAACTGATTTGTATGTTCAATTTTTACTAGTCTACATCGAGTATTATAAATTTAACCCAATTTCTTTTTTCCAAAGATTTATATACATTATATAATTGTAACAATAAAACTTGGAATAAGGGCATATAAAACTAATTTATAACATTGATTTATAATTAGATTTTTTTTCAATGAAGTGAGATTTTATACAAGTGCTCTACTTATAAAATTTCTTTATTATATCATGCATAAAAATAACTACGATTAATGTCATATTCTTATGATCCTATTCTAGAATTTTCTATGGTTTTAAATTCTAAAATGTAATTACTATTTCAGTTTACTTTGATTAGAGTTAAATGTTACATCGAGTACCCTTTTATGAAGTTCCAAGGATCTCATTGTCATCTTAATAATCGTTTTTTTGGACCGGATATTACTTTCTGCAAAAAACACTATACTGTACTATAACATGTAACGCTATATCTTATAGCACATAACACTATAACAATATATACTATAACGTGCAACACTACATCTATAACATGTCGAAATTTTACAGACTTTAAAAGGCGAATCAAAAGATCAAAGGTGACAATAAGTTTTCGCAATAAGTATGTTTTAAAATCGTTACTCTTATTATTAATGAAAAGATTTAAGTGTCACCTTATAGAAATTATAGTAATTAAAAAAATCGGAATAATTTGCTTCGAATTAATTTTAAACATCTTAATTTGAATAAATTATGACGTATAAAAATTTCGATTGGTTGAGTTATTTTACTGTAATATTTCTAAAGTTGTGTAAGAGTTTAGCTATAATTTATTATTTTACTTATGATTATACTATGCATGATATGAATATAGTAATGGATGAAAACTTTTTTCAACAATTTTATACCACCATAACTATTTGGTTACATATTGTGACGTATACTCATCATTTTATGTGCTATTAGGGTATAATATTATGCAATAGTATGTCTATCTTTGTATGATGTCATGCAATTAAAGCGCAAATCCTGAACAATACTTTCGTCGACTTATCGACTCGATTTTCGACTATTATTTGCAAGTAGTCTGAAGAATTTTTACATAATTCTTTTTTTTTTCTACGACTACATGGATTTTCATGTTACAATAAATGTTTTCATGTTTTTCATATGACGCGGCATAATTTTTTACTTATTAGGGTAGAATACATAATTCTTTACTTTGCTATTAGGGTAGAATATTATGCAATAGTAAATCTATCTTGGTATGATGTCATGCAATTAAAGCGCAAATCCTGAACAATACTCTCGTCGACTTATCGACTAGATTTTCGACTATTATTTATAAGTAGTCTTAAGAATTTTCATACAATTTTTTTTTTTTTTTTTTTTCAACGACTACATGGATTTTCATGTTACAGTAATTTTTTTATTTTTTCATGTTTTTCATATGACGGGGCATAATTCTTTACTTTGCTATTAGGGTGGAATATTATGCAATAGTATGTCTATCTTGGTATGATGTCATGCAATTAAAGCGCAAATCCTGAACAATACTCTCGTCGACTTATTGACTCGATTTTCGACTATTATTTGCAAGTAGTCTTAAGAATTTTTATATATTTCTCTTTTTTTTCTTCCAACGACTACATGAATTTTCACGTTACAATAAATTTTTTCATATGACGCGGCATAATTCTTTACTTATTCCTGTTACAATAAAGACAATATAGTTAAATTTTCTTTGTATTATTAATTTAATTTTCTCTGTATGTTAAAATTGACCGTATCTGTATATCACGCGCTGTTAAAAAAAAAAAAAAAAAAAAAAAAAAGAAGCACATTTCTNAAAAAAAAAAAACTAAAGAAAAAAATTGAACGAAACTAGTTTAAAAAAATACTATTTGATTTAAAAAAATAACTATTGAGTTATCAAAATTTCTTTTATTCATTTTTTCTTTTATTCATTTTTTTCAGTTCATGAAGTAGTTAAGAGTTTGCTCAACCAGGAAATACGTGATCATACCTCATATTTAATTTAGCACAATAATATATCAGAACTCCGATACTTCTCGGTGAGCCGCTTGTCTAAAGAGTTTTAAATGGACTATTCGTGGTGGAAATTTTAATAATGGAGTTTGAGATCTTAATACATTTTTAATCCTCGGTTACTTTAATCTAAGCGGTATATTATTACAGTATATATTTATCATGTATGAAGTCAATTTTTAATTATTATTAAAAAATCAATTATTTTTTAGAAAATTATTTTTCTTATCTCTCTTTCCCCATATATTGAGTTGTGTATTATATATTACTGTTTCTTATGTTTGTCTCTCAATACTAATAGATTAATTAGTAGCATATTAGTTTTCCGTGACATTTAAGGAAAAAAAAAATTACTTGAGTAATGATTTTCAATACTTTGTTTTTATTTTAAAAATAAATTAGTTTTTTTTCCCCTTTTATTCATAAATAGTAGTATTATAGTAATGTTGCCGCTAAGAAATCAGTTATTTTACAGTTTATTTAGCTAATGCTCAGATGGATTGGTATTACCCGTTGAAGTCCCAAAAATTTTTTTCAGTTCTTAAATTACCCAGGTAATTTGCAAATTACTTAGATAATCTGAGCATTTCTTTTTAGGCACTCTCTAAAGTACTAAAAAGAAGTGTTATACTTTTTAAATTACCTAGGTAATTTGCTAACAATTTAGATAATCTGCACATTACTTACTAGGCACTCATTAAAGTGCCAAAAATTGCTTCACTTTTCAAATTATCTAGTTAATTTGCAAACTTCCAAGTTACTATACATATTACCAACTAGACATTCGTGAAAGTGATTAAAAACAGTTTCACTTCTCAGTTTTTGTTAATTTGCAAATTGCTTAGAAATTCTGCACATTACCTACTAGGCATTCGTTAAAGTGCCAAAAATAGTTTTTACTCACAAATTACCTAGGTAATTTGCAAATGACTTAGATAATCTGCACATTACCTGCTAGGCACTCGTTAAAGTGAAAATAAGATCCTTCATCACTTATTAACGTTTCTAAACGCTAACTTAATAGTAGTTACGCTTAAATTAACGTTAGAGAGAGAGAGAACGAAAGAGAGAAAATGAAAGAGAGTGAATGAGAGAAAGTGAGTAAGAGAGTATGAGAGAGAGAGAGTAAGAGAGTATGAGAGAGAGAGAGAATGATTTCAAAATTACTAATTAAATTTTATTTCTAATATAAGTTGTTCGTTTATCCTAATAGAGAGAGTTGTATGCATATTTCGAATAATGAATTCGAATTTTACTAATATAAGTTGTTCTCAATCATTGATAAAACAAATGCAGATGGAAGAAAAATCTTGAAACCAAAAAATTTATATTTTGACTAGTGCTACAGCTTAGAAGATTACGTTCATTAGAGCAATCACAACTTTCTAAAACATTTACATTATTCATCAAATTTTAATGAAATTATCTAACAACGCAATCCGGGGTAGGAAATTATTGTCAGAATCTGAATTAGAATAT